CAGGCCTCGCTGCGCCGGGCTTGGCACCGGTTACATGCTCAGCATAATGGCAGAGGGCTGTTCTGAGATGAGCGACCGCGCCCGGCCCGCTGGCGGCCACGTTACCTCGTGCCAGTCACAGGACCCCAGGCAAACGCAGGGGGTCCTGGAACCCCGGGGAGGGGGGTAGCCGGACCTGTTGAACCCACAGTTACAACCCAGGGCGCTGTGGGAGCCCAGCTTAAAGTGGATCAGTTGTGGCATGAGAAAGAAGGTGGGAAGAAGGCGTGTGCCCGGCACATGCTAGGAATGCAGTGTGTGTGTTTTTTTTACCGAACAAATGAAGGAGCGGATCATTTGTAGGCGGTTCTGTCTCCTCCCCTCTCCTGATGTTGTTCCAGCAGACAGTCAAGAGGCGCTCCCTGGAATTCATGAGACAGGCCCCCTGGGCTGATCTGCACACTCACCCCTTTCTCACTTCCCACGGCCGGCCTCACGGAGAAGCTGGAGTTTTAGGGCTGAACCAAAGTGGGCCTCCCTAGGGAGGGCAAACGCGGGCACAAGGGCTCTTAGTCGGGACTTGACTCCTTGATTTTGGATGCGTCGCTGTGTGTTACGCACACTTGTGTGTTTTGTGGGGGAGAGGAGCTTTGGATTTCATTAGTTTCTCATGGCTCTAGGACCCCAGAGGGGTTAAGAATACCAGCTTAGCAGTGGACGTTCCCTGAAAGGAATGAGCTTGGCCGGATTGTTCCTCTGATTTCCAGGTCACCACACACCAGATTTCCAGGACTGTTTTTGCACATAGTTGTGCAAGAGTAGTGTTTTTGTTTTGAAGTATTTGTCTCATTTGTCCCACTAAACCGCCCAATGGCACTGTGCCCTTAGTTGGCCTGCCTGCGGTTGCCATGGTTCAGGGCTTGGGATGTGGTGGCTGTGCAGCCACTATAATTACTTTGACTTCAGTGGTGTGTGTAAGTGGTTGGTGTGCCTGGAAGGCAGCCTTGTTCTTTTTTTTTTTTTAATTTTCTTTCCTATTGAATTTATTGGGGGTGACATTGGTTAATAAAATTATAAAGGTTTCAGGTGTACAATTCTATAACACATCCTATGTACATTGTATCATGTGTTCACCACCCCAAGTCAAGTCTCCTTCCACCAGACAGCCTTTGTTCTGAGTTGGACATAAATTCGTGCCCTTACTGAACTTGGTTCTGGCCACTTTTGGAACCCAGCCAATGTGAAGTTCTAATGCATGACACGGTCTTTTTGGAGTAGCACAAACTCAGGAGAAATCTGGCTGCTTTGTCAAGCCCTCGTCTCTTTCATCATGCACACAAACTGTTGCAAGCAATGAGAGATGTTGCAGGCAGGACCAGGAACAGCTATTTCTTCTCTGGAGAGTGATCCAGTGACCCTGAACCCCTGTTGGCCATATCTCCACCAGCCCCTGCAGTCTCTGGCCTGAGTCACCCTCCTTCCATCTGCCTACTACAGCTGGAGTCACAGCCCTCCCTCCCTCCTGGAGGCCTCACCCCCCGCCTTCCTTTCCCTTACCGCTGGCCCCAGCCCTAGCCTTAAGCTCTTCCTCTGTCTCTGCTCCGCCCATGAAGTAAACACCCGCGGGCAGTGTTCCAGCTCACAGTCCGTTCTGGGTCTAAGCTGGCAGAGATGGACCATCCAGCACCTGAGGCCCTCCCAGCCAGGCACCGCTGCCCCTCCCTAGGAATGCTGGCCTCGGAGGCTGGCATCAGGAGGTTCTCAGTGCCATCCTCCATCAGGTAGCTGTCACTGAGGATCCGTGGGCCGAAGGAGCATGTTTCTGTGCGGGTGGGGCCTGCCACACACGGAGCTGGGCAGCAGCGGAGGGAGAAGCCTGGGGTGAGGCAGCGCAGTCGGCCGTAGCTGTGGCTCATGGAGCCACACCGTAGGGGCATTGTCACCCTTACCCTCGGTGGCCTTAATCCTGTGTGGAAATGCAGCAACTCACTTGACCTTGCCCCTCTGGGGCTCAGCAGCCCACCGACTCCTGACGCCCTCTGCCCCTACCCCGTGCAGCAGGAGCCCGGCCATGGTGAACGAGCCCAGAGGGAATGGCGGCCCTGGCCCCCGCTTGGAGAGCAGCAGCAGTGGCATCGAGGGCTCCAAGGAGGGTTCGAGATGTTCCTCTCCAGGGCTGGACCCCGAGCGGCACGAGAGACTCAGGGAGAAAATGAGGCGGAGGATGGAGTCAGGCGACAAGTGGTTCTCACTGGAATTCTTCCCTCCGCGGACGGCACAGAGAGCTGCCCAGCTCATCTCCAGGTGAGCTGGCACGGGGTCGGGGAGCAGGCCGGACTGGGGGGCGTCCCCTCAGCCCGCCACGGGCCACTTTGACCCAGCAGGGAGAGGCAGCCAGAGGGGCTCAAGAGAGTAAACACAGGGTCAGTCCGTCGTTTGACCTGCAGCTTCTTGGTTGTCAGTAAAATTCCCCCCAAGCCTCTGGGTTTTTGGACACGCTCTTCAATGAGTTAAAAATGTTGATTCAGTTCTCTGGCGGAACGTCAAGCTGGATCCGAGTATAGTTTAGGAAGTCACATAGCAGAGCCTGGAGGACATTTCCAGCAAGTTAGGCCCTTGGATTATGCCTCTTGGAATCTAGAAATGCCAACCGAATGATGTTAGCACTCTATGAATTGCAGTTCCTCTTTTTAAAGTTTATGCGTTTTACCATTTGCACTTCTCATGTTTTGCTCCCAAAGCTTGAAGTTTAGGGCACAAGGATGTTTCAATACACTATTAACCAGCTTGTAACCCAGCGCATGTACACGCCTGGGCCACTCAAGTGTGGTTCCTGGACTGTGCCCTTGCTGTGCAGGACTGCTGGCTGCTGCACCAGGACCGG